GGGGGGAGGGTGCTGGGTAAACGTTTGATATGTATATGTTCCCGCCTTTCTGACTCAGATCTTGCTTTCCTCTAACTGTTTTCACTTCATATCTAGTAAAAGTACTTTATCTCTATTAAAATGGAGTTGAGGTTTTCCTTTCTTGGATATTGAAGGAGGCATGCTTGACATTTGCAATATCCTGGAGCCACGTGGTCACCTTTTGGCGACCTTCTGACAAGCAAAGTCAATGGGGAAGCCAGTGTCAAGTACCAGGGAAATCAGAAGATCCAGGCAGTTCAAATGTAGATCTCTCTACAAGAATCTGAATTATTAACGGTCCAAGCAAATTGGCAGTAGGTAAGAGTCAATGGAATTCAAAGGTGGGCTGGATTTTGTTGGCACGAAGGGACTTGTGACTGATGATGCATTTGTCCCCTCCCTCGGGCTCAGCCTGGTCATCTCCTACAGCCACATTAACTTAACTGTTACTAACTGCAGTGATTCACTTAATTGTGGCAAGAAAGGTCGTCAAATGAGGCAGAACTCACTTAACAATTGTCTTGCTTAGCAATGTAAATTTTGGGCCCAATTGTGGTGGTAAGTCAAGGACTACCTGTAATTCAATTCTGGCAATTTTTCAGATTGCTCCAAACTAAAACCTAGATTTTAGTTTTTAAGTACCAAAACAATTTCATGGGAATTTGTGAATTTCATGGGAGCCAATTTTCTCGTTCATGAGATCACCAAGAGTCAAGATTGACACAAAAGCATTTTATACTCAATATGGCATTTGGTGCAGTGCTTTGTTCCCCAATAATCTTTCACTTCACAATTAGAAAACAAGCTTCTAGGTTTTGGGACTTCAACAGTGCAGCTGAAACAGAAACTTGTCCACCCCAAGGATAAAACACCCAGATACAAACTGAGGAATGTGGTATATGCTGTGCAATGTTGTGAGATTGTTTTTTATCAGGGCAACCTGGTCTACACCAAATATGGGACAGAGCATACTGCATACATCTACCTAATATGTAAGCAGCCTGGGTTCGAATCCCAGAAGGGTATGGCTAGCTGATGAGAGCTAAATAGCTTGAAATAGATCTATACTAGTCTCCCTTTATTTCTTTGTCGGTTGGCATAACACAGGAGAACAAACCATCAGGAAAAGATTCAGCTGTCCATCTGCATTTGAAAGACAAAGGTCACTCTTTTGAAGACAGCAAAGTCCACCATCTGGACAGAGAGGACCACTGGATTGAAAGAGGGGTCAAAGAGGCCATCTATATTAATATTGAGCAGCCCTCTCTCAACAGAGGGGGAGGGATACATCTCCTATCCCGTCTACAACACAGTCCTTTCAGCAGTTCCAAAATGGTTCCACACCCATTTGCACTGATTCAGGTGATCCTGAGGGCACAGATAAACCCTCAAGTGGCCTCAACTACTATCAGAGAGAGTGCCAATGACCAGATGACTTGCAAGGAATATAAATGTCAGGTAGCTGAGAATTTAATAGCTGACAGCTGAAGCAAGGTTGTAAGCTGTAGACGAGAAGCTGATGCAATGAGGATGATTCAGCTATGGTATTTCCTCTTTAAGACTCTGGTGGGGTCTACACAAGGCATTTCTCCTTTAAGATGTGTCTATATATAGGTGGCCATTAGAGAGCATTTCGCTCTCTAATCGTGTATCTCATTTCTCTCCGTGTGTCTGTAGCTGAGTGGTAAGGAATTTATCTCCATGTATATATAAACCACTATTAATTGTATAAAGGCTCTGTGTGCTGTGTGCTCTGTTTTGCTCCTGGGTTTATCTCATAATCCTAGTCACACTGCCAAAACTCTGACAAAATAGTTCCATTCCCCCCCCCACCACACACACACCATTTAGCCAGAACTGAAGCTTCTTGGATGAAAAGCAAAATGTTTTCAAGGAAAACACCAAGAAAGTCCAGTTGCCTTTTGAAAAGCATCTTTGGGACAACCATGACCTGCATGATTGAGAATCTTCATAGACAGTGCAGTTGAAAATAAGAGACACTACTCAAAATCCTAGATGCCAGAAGGATAGTGAACAATGACCAGTAACTGAACGTATTTAGTATCATAATTTCGCATGAAAACATTTTTAATACTTTATTCTTGTTTAAACAAAAATATCCAAATACACAAGAAATTGGTGGAAAGTTACATATTAAGAAGAAATGGGATGGGAGAAGCAGACCTCAAACACCCTTCTAAATAAAACCAGTTAAGATCAGTTACCTCAACTGGTTGACAACCTCATTGGCTAGCAGCCTGGGAAGCAGAACCTCACCTGGCTGGACAAGGGACAAGGAAGAGTCTCCATTCATCACTCCAGTGGGGGTTCCATTANAATCAGCCCAGAGGTGGTGGAGAAAATGGGTTTAAGACTGAGAACTTTGAAAGTACCCATTGCCTTTTGCCAGTTGGATGGGTCAATCGCTGGGGTGCCCCTGCCCATTTTGTAACCGAACCAATAGAAATGTGGATGGGTGATCACCAAGAAACCTTGAGTTTCATTGTGGCACCTGGGATGGATTGGCCCCTCATAATGGGATCACCGTGTCTACGGAAATGGAACCCTTACATGAACTGGAGGAAAGGGTGGTTGCACATTCGTTCCGCTAAACCCCCTGAGGGGAAGGGGAGGACGTCCCACATAGCCAATGCCGTAAAGGAACCTAGCTGCCGCAGTGCAGGAAAAGATTAAAGAAGAGAAAATCCCCAAAGAATATTGGGACCTCAAGGTTTTCAGTGAAAGGGCTTCCGACAAATTGCCCCCACACCGCGCTACTGATTGCAGCATCGAGATCATGCCAGGGGAAAAGCTCTCTAAACCCCAAATTTACTTGATGACACCATGTGAAATGGAGGAATTGCGAAAGTTTATTGACAAAAATTTTAAAAGGGGTTTCATACAACCAGCTAGGCCACAGGTGGCCGCACCTGTATTGTTCAGAGAAAAGAAAGATGGCTCCTTTCGTTTGTGTGAATTACAAAAAACTTAATGGAATTTGCATGAAAAATGTATATCCCCTGCCACTCATGAATGATACGTTGGCCCACTTGGGGAAGGGGAAGATTTTCACGAAGTTGGACCTAAGAGAAGCCTACTACAGGGCCAGGATCAAGGAGGGAGATGAGTGGAAAACTGCTTTCAACTGCCCTTTGGGATGCTTCCAGTTCAGAGTACTCCCGTTTGGACTGCAGTGGGCGCCAGCAGTTTTCATGCAATTAATAAATTAAGTTTTGCATGAGCACCTGTACAAAGGCGTGTTAGTCTACCTCGATGACATCCTCATCTACACAGAAACACGTGAGGAACACGTGACGGTGCGCAGTCCTCAAGAAACTCCGGGCTGCTGAACACCCCACATGACACCTTAGAAAGTTGCAGATTGGACAATGGGTTGGGGAATTGGGGGGAGGGTGCTGGGTAAACATTTGATATGTTTATG